AGTCCGCGTCCGACGCGCGCACCGTCAGCACCAGCGCGCCCGCCGCGTTGTTCTCCGCCAGCCGCGCGCTGTAGCGCTCCTGCGCGAACACCGGCGCGTTGTCATTCACGTCCAGCACCCGCAGCGCCAGCACCGCGCTGCTCTGCAGCGGCGGCGACCCGCCATCGGCCGCCCGCACCGTCACGTTGTACTCGGACACCTGCTCACGGTCCAGTAGCTCTGTAGTCACCACGCTGTAGTAATTATCGAACGACTTCTCTAGGCGGAACGGRTGGCTCTCGCTGATACTGCACTGCACCTCTCCGTTCGCTCCAGAATCCCTGTCTTGAACGCTGAAAATCGCTATTACCGTTCCCAGCGGTGTATCTTCTGGCACCGGACTAAACACAGACATAATGATAATCTCCGGAATGTAGTTGTTTACATCAACTACTTTGATGAGTACCTTGCTGTGGGAAGAGAGTCCGCCTGTATCCCGTGCTTGCACAACCARTTCGTAAAACTCGCGTTCTTCGAAATTCAAATTCTGTGTTACCTCAATTTCTCCACTTTTCGGATTAAGCTTAAAAGTCTTCTCGAACTTCTCTGGAATTTTAAAGAACCAGTATTTTACCTCGGCGTTTGGCCCCTCGTCTCTGTCAATCGCTGTCACCTGTAACACCCGACTTCCTACAGCCACGTCTTCTCTCACAGTCACCTTATACACAGACTGAGTAAATTCTGGTGCATTGTCGTTTCCATCTAACACAATGATTTGAATCATAGTCGATCCTGATTTCACCGGACTCCCGTTGTCTGTGGCTGTCAGGATCAAATTATGAGCGGTCTGCTGTTCCCGATCCAAAGATTTCACCAATATTAATTCCGGATATTTCACACCGTCATCTCCATTTTTCACTTCCAAGGTGAAATAGTTGCTCTCGCTACACTCGTAATTCTGTAAAGAATTCAGTCCTATGTCGGGATCATGAGCTTTCTGTAAMGGGAAGCGTGTACCTGGTGCAGTRTACTCGCTGATTTCTAAGACACTACTTCTTTCTGGGAAACTGGGAGAATTATCGTTAATATCCAGTATTTCCACCTCCCCTTTGTAAATGTTCATTGGACGCTTTACAAGAATTTCAAAATTTAGAACACGTTTAGAAGCAGCTGCACATATCTGTTCCCTGTCTGCTTGTTCCATCATGGATAAGTGACCGTTCCCCAAGTCCAAAAAGAAGTAGCGTCTCCTGCCTGTGTCAAAAACGTGGGCGTCGCGCTCGCGGAGCTCAGGTAGCTGCAGCCCCAGGTCCTTGGCCACATCGCCTACGAAAGAGCCCTTGGGCATCTCCTCGGGCACCGAGTAGCGCAGCTGCCCCCACGCCGCCTCCCACGCTGCCAGCAGAACAGCCCAGAGCAGAGCTCGCTGCCGCCGGCCCCAGCGCCTCCCCGCCGCGCTCATCTCCGCCGCGGCACCGCCGGCACCGCAACACCACGGGCAGTTCCGACTGCTCACCCCCGATCTGGAACCTGCTCCTGCTCCAATTCCTTCTCCGGTTCACCGCTCCCGGCCGCTGCAGCCGGCCCCTCCGCCTCTCTGCAGCACGGATCCGCACCGCGGGAACGATCACAATCGGGCGTCTGCAGAGTCAGAGAGCGAGCGAGCAAGCGATTCTGTCTGCAGCGGGCGGGGCTGCAGCGCTCCGATCTTSCTCYCKCTSCTCTCGGTCAASAGCGGCGCCCGCAGCCTCCTCCCGGCACTGCRGGCACCGAGCGCTGMCGAGCGCWGCCCRCCCTGACTTTTCCRCGRGCAGCTCGCGGGGACAGCWCATCGCACGGAGACATCGGGCCTCGTACAGCGGGGAGCTCCTGCCTCTGCTTTTCTCCAGCCCATCTGTTCTTTGAGATGCTGATCAAGACCGGTAAAAAGGTAGAGGCATCCTTGTGCTGTTTCTATCGCACAGTAAAATGTTTTTGTAATGGTGATACCATAGATAAAATGTTCTCTTGAGAAGCAGAAGTATTACTAGTCGTATTCCATTAGTTCAAAAGCATAATTTCCCCCACTGCTTGCCCAGATTTTGCAGCAGTCACGGTTGAATGACCTTTTACTCCCCCTCRTCTTTTCTGCCAGTATATCTTAATATTGGAATGCCATTAGCGACCTTACATTTCGGAAACCCATGAAATAGCACAAGCCAGAAACTGACTTTCCTATGTGCAGGTTCCTCAGGTGGTGTCGAATCTGATCTTCTCTTACAGTGGAGAGACTTTTTTTCCCCCCAGTCCCTGCCTTGAGCTCCATCCACTTGATAGGAGTGGGAAGAGGTGGCAGTGATGACTGAGGCAAAGGTATGTCTAAGTAGCTCATCCTTGTCATTGTCTGATTTTATCAGTTTGTCAGTTGTGTTAATCAGGAGGCATATAGAGGTTCTTTTAACTTTCTTCTTCAGTCTGACTTAGCTGCAGAAGCCTTTCTTGCTATTCTTTGCATTCCTCGTGGAGTTCARCTCTGGCCATGCCTACCCCTACACAACCAGCCAACATCGCTATACATTACCCAGGATACCAGTTCCTGCTCTCACTGCTGTGCATTTATTCCTTGCCGCTTAGTTTGACCAGCAAGTCTTCCCTCAGCCACGCTGGGCTTTCCCCTTCTTTTCCTAGTTTCCTACACAYGACTTCAAGAGGTCATGCACTTGCTGGAAAACATCCCTAAAAATCTGCCAGATCTTTTCTGCTCCCTTGTCCCTCAGGGCGTTTTCCCCTGAAGTGTCCCATTGACTAAATCCCTTAAGAGCTGGAAGTTTGCTCTCGTAAAATTCAGGGTCCTGACTTCATTCTTTGCCTGATCAATACCCCTCAGGACTGTGAACTTGACCAGTGCATGATCATGGCTGCCCAGGCTGCCTCCAGTCTTGATATCTCTGATTAGATCACATGTGTTGATGACCAACAGGTCCAAAAATGCATTTCCTCTGGTAAAGAYGACTGGACTAAGGACTTAATCCTTACTAAAGGGCACCTCCAGTGAGCTCCTTGAGAGAGCTCAGTAGTATATTTGGGCCCTTTAAGACAGGAGACTGCCTCCCACCGTGTAGAGTAGGAGCCATAAYAAACCATCTGTTTATGAACTGCAATGGACACTTGAAGCCTCTAGCTGGAACGACCCAAACCCCAGAAGTTTCACAACTCAAGATTATGGACCCTAGTAATCTCAGTGAGAGAGACACACCAACTTTCTTTTATAACACTCACTGCTGGAAGAGATTAGCACAGGTAATCCTACATCCCCTTAGATGTAGAGGACATTTAGTAAAAGTAAYTTCACACAAGAATCCAGCCACACCCAAAATGCCAAGCAGATCCCGGTATTAGGAAAGGAAGACTGCCCCTGWTTCACTCAGTCAAGACATTACAGGACTTTCATGCAGTAAAGAAMTTTTATTCATCATTTTAGAGTTCCAGTAAAAGAAATTTGCATGCAGACTTCTTGCTTGCAGGTGTCTCTCTCATCAGTTGCAAGGGGAACCTACCTGCAGATTCCTTCATTGCAATGAGATGAATCTAAACTTCCACCAAATTATTTGTGGAGCAGAACACGGCACAGCCTTCCCAGATTAACTGGATTATGGATCACTTYATTCTYCATGTACATCAGTCTTCTGGTCAGYGTTACTGTACCATTCCCTCTGCAGGWCTTACCTGTTCATCTGGGCCTTGTGGAAGTAGTCCTGCTGTGGTCCTCTTCATTTCATAATAGAAAAGCCTCTCCCTGGTAGCAGTTTTTACTCATCRAATTCCCACATCCAAGCACCCCCCAAAAAATACTTCCCAAGGGAACATGCATGTTGGCTTTATCCCCCTTTTTCATGAAATTCCTACACCTTTAGCGTTATAAACACCTTGCAGTTGCCATCTGCAGGTGTAGCTGTCACAAGATTTGAGAAGGCCACTGCCCTGTGTCACAGCTTTGCAGGGGCATTTGCATAACCAGGGCCTCTGTTAGGATAGGAGCCAGTTTCCCCTGACCTGCGTATTACTGGGCTCCATCTCAGCCAAAAGGTCAGTGTTCTAAAGAACTATGGGGGCCTGATAGCAATTTCATCATCCTCCCAATTTTTCTGAATGCTGTATCAGCTGCCTACTGAAACTGGAGAAATCTACCCACTCAACATTACCTAGGCCAAAGGAAAATACAAAGAATGTCTCAACACAAGGCATTCAGGTGCRCTCTTTATTTCAGTTTTTCACTCAGGACCATCCAAGTTTACCATATTAAAATTTATCATTTCAGCACAACAYAACGTGAGGCTTTCTGAAGATCCTGTACATAACAGACATCATTCAAGCAATCAGTTACTATATACATGGGGTGGCAGTCCTAAAGCAGAATAAAAAAGACAATGCTCAAACACAGTTCAGAAAGTACCAAGAGAAAGGGCAAAAAGGAGAATGCAAATGCTCTAAGATAAATGGAGAATATCATACGGAGATRGACAGCTTTCTATTCCCAATAAGAAATCACTGAATTCAGGAATAACAATGAGAAGACCAAAATCAATCTCCTTTTTGCCATTTCATCCTTATTCTACCTTCAGAAAATGCAGTCTCAAGGACTTAGAGTTTTCATGAAATGCACCCAAAGAAAATTTACATATTTCCAAAACTCTGTACAGTTATAGTAAACCAAATACCATTTGTACTGCTATATTTCTGGTTGTCAAGGAGACAGAATACCAAGCACATATTTATATGGCAAAAAGAATATTTTGTTGTGCACTTTGCTACTCTATTCTGCCCTGGAAAAAATAGGACACCTATASTGAGATGGTCAAAATATCAATCTTGCAAGCTGAGCCGAATTGCCTGCATTGCAATGATTGCATGGCAGAAACTCCATGATTCTTGGGGCAGCACTAGAGGATCATATGCAAACATACAGTGGCTSTATTGACTGACATAGTGGTAAGAAAGAAAAACACACAGAGCCCAAACATTTCAAGAAAGAAAGAGCCCGGTGCTCACATGATATTGGGGCACAGTACTCTCAGTATCTTTATTTCTTTGGAGCAGGGAAAGTTTTTTATTTTTTGTTCATTTGGTTGGTTTTTTTGTTTTGTTTTGTTTTTTTTTTTTTTTTATTTCATGAAGAATGAGATATGTCTACCAAACCGAGCCATTAGGTTACAGCACAGAAAAAGAGTTCAATGGTCTTGCTGCACAGCAAGAGAGAACAGAGCATAGCTGAAAGTTCTAACCACTTTCTTAAAGC